AGGCATAGAAAAGGTAAAATGAGTACTGTGGAAGGGGTCGGATATGACATATAGTAGGGTCATTGTAATTTGAAGTCAGGAGTCAACTGCCGGTTAATAGATTTTTTGCCGTATGAGCATGCGTTGCCCAGGGTGCACCACGTGGAGGTAAGTCTATCGTACGTTGTCCAGGGTGCACCACGTGGAGGTAAGTCTATCGTATTCTTAAGAATAATTGTTTAGAAAACCAGCAAGGGTTGAAAGTTGCCCAGGGTGCACCACGTGGAGGTAAGTCTATCGCACGCTGTCCAGGGTGCACCACGTGGAGGTAAGTCTATCGCACACACCCCTCCGCTTCCAAATAAGATGTTGATAGTGAAGGCATATTTCCAGGGTGCACCACGTGGAGGTAAGTCTATCGCACACCCACTTGGCTCTCCCCTCAAATTTCAACCCTACACGGATGGGCTTGTTTTTTTTTATTTTTACTATTACCATTACAATTATAATTATGCTATTAAATATAAAATTTTTGGATCCGAGCTACCGTAAAATTTGTAGTTAAACTAAGGGAGAAACCTGTTCAGATCAAAGCTTTATAACAGAGTTATGGGGACTGTACGTCATGCAGATCGGTCATTTATTGTTGGGTTGAATGCCTTAAAGAGAAGGGTAGAGTGTAAATTGATTGCAGCAGTAAATGGGGTAAACTTCATTCTCGTACAGAACGTAGCGAAACGAGAAGATCTAATTGCTATTAAGGAAACGGTCAGTGAAGTTGGAGATCACACACTGAAAATCTTGGTTTGAGCAAGTTCTGGGGGGGAGGGTGGCTCGGTGGCTTTCAAAAGTGTTGCAGAATGAATAACGAGTCCATGCGCGAATTTACCAGGTGGAAGTAAAGATTGCAATGGTATCTAAATTTTTGACTCACCCTCGCGCATCCATTGGAACGATAGTTATGTGTGAAATGCTGATGGTAATAACAACTATGTGTGTATCCATGCTATTCGGGAGTTTTCGGTATCTACCTAGAACGCTGCGAATGTTGTGAATTCTTTAATTTTTCTACAACATTTTCCTCCCAACTTTCAGAATCTCGCTGCTACTCGATCGTATGGCAATCTGGAGGTCGATGTATTTGAGGCTCTTCAATATAGGCGCCAGGTTTGTATTTGCTTGTGAATATTTCATATATTAACCAGACATTTGTTGCACTACATTGGCCAATCGCGCTCTGTGTTACATGAATCTTTATTGCCACTTTTATTGACTGTGGTACTTATTCGTACCAGAGGTATACAGTGCCTATACTTATCAATCATCCTAATAGCATAGCACCCAACTTTGCTTAATCAACCAACTATTCTGTTTTTATTATTAGCACCGCTTAGTAGTCTTAATGCTGAATTTCTCTTTACCTTCAGTAAAGTAGTGATTCTTTTGTTTAGCATTCAGTGTTTGCCTAATATTGTATTGGGTAGTGTGAGTTTAAGAAATTTTGAATTCTAATGTCATCTAACTTTTTAGATGATAAAAATAGCTTTCTTGATATGCAAGGTGACAAAAGTCTTTGAGCTGAATTCATGCGTCATCATTTTATCATTGAATTATTGTAAAACAACTTTAAATGGTGTTTGACCATAGAGTTAAATTTAACCTGAAGTATTATGAGTTACAGCACTCAAGGAATCGGCCGAATTGACTATATTTAATAGGAATAACATAATAACGTGTGCATTTGCTCAATAGACCAGAAATATTGTAAAGCACGTTAAGGGAAACAGGTATAAATCGAATAAATGTAGGCCAATAGTTTTGCTCGGTCGCGTCTTAAAGCATTCGGAATGGGTAAATATGAATTCAAATGGCAGGTGTTATGATAGGTATCATTAGCCCATTAGTTGACTTCGGGCTTCACAGAAAGGAAGATGAATATCAAAGTGACAAAAAGTCGAGAGGGGACAGAATAATGATTCACAGACGTTAAAGAGACAGACAGACAGACACAAAGGTGGAAAAAAGGTGAGGTGAGTACTGTGAAAGTAGTCGAATATGAAATGCGGTGGGGTCTTGGTAGTTTGAAGTCAGAAGTCAACTGCCGATTAATAGACGTCTTTGCCGTATGAGTATACGTTGCCCAGGGTGCACCACGTGGAGGTAAGTCTATCGCATACTCCGAATGGGTAAATATAAAGAGTATTGTCAAAGAATAAGGCGAAGCGATCGCTTGCATATCGTGTGAGGAAATTTGCTTTAGATGATCTATTTGAAAAAAATTTAACCCTTTTTTTGCTCTTTATATTGGGAAGTGGTTGGGGTTCAGGCATTATCGGAAGTAATGAAATGAATGAGAGAGAGAGGTGCTAAAGAGAATTTTTGTGTCGGGAATGCTTGTAGAAGATTCATCTAATGGCCATTGGAGTGGAAGCAGGACAGGGATTAGCTCAATATCCACAAAGTAGTTACGAGTAGCAATTTAATGCCTAAAGTAAAATGACTTTTGCTCCATTAGATGGTAAATCGATAAACCAAGTAGTTAGAATTCATGGTCTGGTGCAGTTTTTTGTGTAAATACGTTGCTAGTTAGAGGCAGAATTAAAGGCACTGAGTTGCTTTTGGTTAGGATTTACTTGATTATGATTTTCTGCCACTGAGAGGAAAGGATTATTTTCTCCTTCTCTTCTTCCTCTTTTGCTTCAATTCACATTTCTTAAGTCATAAACTCGCTTGCGTTGTATTTTTTTGTTGTAGAAGTTTTCGGGTGTGTCCACTTGCATGCTACACAGCACACTGAAGGAAATAATCGATATTATCGTGGATGCCGAGGTATGCTCTCTTTTCTTTCCTTTTCTCCTAACTTTTTTATCAATGTTGCGATTTGTACTCGAGTTTAAACAATGTCCCCCGCAATCTAATTTTTATTGAAAATTTAAGGAACTTTAATTTATAACAGAGTAGAGAAAAAAATTGTCAGATCGGTTGACACTTCAATCATTTTTTTCCCATCAGGTCCACCGACTTGTGGTTGTTGATGAAGCCCAGCATGTTCTTGGAATCGTTTCACTCTCTGACATCCTCCGCTTCCTAATCCAAAAGCATCCAATGTCTGAATGAATACGGTTTTTCCTCACAATCAATGTCGTCTGCAAAAGGTCACCTTGCCCCTTTACAATCCCAACCCCGCCTCCCCCACTCTCTGTACAGCTCATTCAATAGAGACATCTATTTACTCGCCATCTTTATTAGATTATTATCCCGCTCAATATTTCTGCTCTCCCCTATTCCTCTTCCCTTCCTATTGATCATTGTCGCAAGGGTCCTGGATGGAAAGGCTTGTTATTTAATTCTTATTCTGGAACCGGTCATACACCATGCTACCCCATCTATTTTCCTCGTTTCTTTCATCTAGTAGGTCTTCAGAACTGCATTTTGGCCCTGCAAATCTCCTCTTCTAAGCATTTGGCCGAATCGTCTTTCGATCGCCTTGGTTGATTTAACATGTGCTTGCAATAGTTACGCTAAACCAAATTTGGTTTGGAATTTATTTATTTCAAATGGCAGGCGTTTTGATAGCTATCATTAGCCCTTTAATTGACTTCGGGCTTCACAGAGGAAAGGTTCATCAAAGTAGCAGAATGTCGAGGGNGGGGGGGGGGGGACAGAAGAGCGATTCACAGATGTAAAAGAGACAGACAAAGGAGGATGAAAGGTGTGGTGAGTACTGTGGAAGGGGTCGAATATGACATACAGTGAGGTGATGGTGCTTTGAAGTCGGAAGTCAACTGCCGGTTAATGGACTTCTTTACCGTATGAGTATACGTTGGCCAGG